GAATTGGAATTGATGGATAATTCAAATGTGTGTGTTATTCGGTGTTCAAGATGTTCTTGATCTTGTCACTAAAGGTTACTACCTTCTGATTACAACAGATGTGACAGAGGAATAGAGAAACGCACAAAGAGATTCAAAGAAGAAAGATCAGAAAGCGTTGTTCTACATCCACCAGTATGTGGATGCGAACGTGTTTGAGAAAATCGATGATTTGATGACGACGAAGGCTGCATGGGATATACTGACACGGTGTTACGGTTGTGATGCGTTAGTGAAGAAGATAAAGCTTCAGTCTCTATGTAAGAAGTATGAGAATCTCAACATGAAGAACAAAGAGAAAGTACCTGATTACATCTCTAGAGTGATTTTGATCACAAATAAGATGGAATCTTATGGAGAAACTTTGTCTGAACAACTATTCATTAAGAAGGTATTGAGACATCTTACTCCTTAATTTGATTATATTGTTGTAGCAATTGAACATTCTAAGAATCTAAGCACCATGATAATTGAAGAGTTGCAAAGTAGTCTAGAGGTGTAAGAGTTTCGTCTGACTAAGAGAACCTCTGAAAAAGAGGTAAAGCATGCTCTGAAGACTTCTTTTGTCAAGAAGGACCAGAAGCAGTCTTGGTCAGAAGCCAAGAAAAGACATGGTTGTTCTCAGAAGTCAGAAGCCTCCAACTCTGATGAGAAGAAATATCATAAGGGAAAGTAAAAGTTTGACAAGAGAAAGGTTTAATGCTTTTGTTGTAATAGGTTTGGTCACTTTGCTAAAAATTGTTGGTCAAACATGGAAAGGAAGTCATAAGAAGCAAACATAGCTAAAGAAGATTCTGATGATGAATATGTGTTATTGACAACTTCTGATTCTGATGTTAGATATTTGGTAGACTGGTGGTATATGGACACTGGTTTCTCAAATCACCTGACTGGAAACAATGGCTGATTGATTTGGACTCCAGAAAGAGGACAAAGATCAGATGTGTTGATGATAAATACCTTAACGTTGAGGGTATGAGAAATGTGAATGTCAAGGTGAAGAATGGTAAAATCATTCTGATCATAGATGTTTGGTATGTCCCTGGTATGAAGAACAATCTGATGAGTATAGGTCAACTTATTGAGAAACGTTTCTCAGTTATTATGAAGAATAATCTCTCGAAGTCGTGTGACTGCAATTAGAAGATGATTATACAATCTGAGCAGGGAAGCAACAAACATTCAAGGTGAATATGGAGGAAATTGAAACTAAATGCTTTAGTGCAGAAGGCTCTGAAGGTGACGGTGATTTGTGGCACAAGAGATTGGCGTATTTGAACTTCATAAGCTTAAGGCATCTAAGTTCTAAGAAGTTAGTACATGGCATTTCCAAGATTGTGAAGTCTGATAAGTCATGTGAGATATGCATGAAAGGAAAGCAACCCAGATTGCCATTTACGTCATAAGTAGACCCAAGAGCAAAGTATACTTTGGGAGTAGTGAATTTTGATGTATGTGGACCATTTCCATTATCTTCACTTGGAGGAAACAAGTATTTTGTGACTTTTATGGATAAGTGCACAAGAATGACATGGGTAACACTCATCAAGTTTAAGCATGAGGTGTTTACTGAGTTTCAAAAGTTCAAGGTGAAGGTTGAGAAACAGAGTTGTCAGAAGCTGAAAGTTCTCAGAACTGATGGCGGAGGTGAGCACATCTCTATAGAGTTCTAGAAGTTCTCTGAGGAGAACGAAATTGAGCACGAGGTTATTGCTTCATACACTCCTTAGCACAATGGTCTTTGCTTGATATGACAAGGAACATGATGAAAGAGAAGAAGTTGCCTCCCGCCTTGTGGAGAGAAGCTATTGCCACTTCAGCGTATGTACTCAATAGGTGTCCAACGAAGAACTGGAAGGAACCTATCCCTATAGAGAAGTGGAATGGAGATAAGAAAAGTGTGAGTAATTTGAGGGTATTTGGTTCAATTTGTTACAAACATGTTCCAGATGCTAAGAGAAAGAAGTTGTATGATAGAAGAAAGGTAATGTTATTGATTGGGTACCACAGTACAAGTGCGTACAAGCGTTATTGTCAAGACACTAATAAAGTTGAAGTCAGCATAGACGTTATTGTGAAGGAGTCATAAGCATGGGACTGGAGCAAGTCAACATAGACTGGTGTAGTGTTAACACATAAGGTAACTTCTGAAGATACTTCATGATTTAAAGGTTCTGAAGATGAGTCAGGGTTAGAAGGAGACTCTGGAGACAAGTCAGAGTTAGAAGATGATTCTAATTTTGAAGGTGAATCTGATTCTGATCTATATTCTGATGATGATCCAGAATCTGGTGGTAATCATGCCTCTAAAGGTGGAGCATCTGAAGGTGGTACAACTTCTGAAGGAAGTCCAGAAGGTGATATTGTTCCGGAATTTGAAGATTATGAACAAGTCTAAAGGCCACAAAGAATTAGATAAATACCAAAGAGATTCAGAGAGTTTGATATGTTGCAAGATACTGAGATAGACTTTGAAGGGGAAGTCATTCAGTATGCCATGTTAGTATACTCTACACCAGTGAGTACTGGAGAAGCTCTCAAGAAGAAAGTGTGGTTGAAGATAATGAAAGAAGAACTTGAGGCTATAGAAAGAAACAAGACCTGAGAGTTGAATGAGCTTCACAAATAAAAGAAATCCAGCATCATCACATGGGTTTTAAAAATAAATCTAAAGCCAGATGGATCAATTGGCAAACAAAAAGCAAGGTTAGTAGCAAGAGGATTTCTACAGAAACCTAGATTGGATTACTTTGAAGTGTTTGTGCGTGTAGCTAGACATGAAACAATCAGATTGGTGATTGTTATAGGTGCAAATATAAATTGGCCTCTGATGTATCTGGATGTAAAATCTGCATTTCTGAATAATCTATTACAAAAAGAGGTATACGTGTCAGAACCTCCTAGATTGGTGAATCAGGAATTGATTGTGTACAGGTTACACAAAAGTGTTGTATGGACAAAAACAAGCTCATAGAGTTTGGAATATGAAGATTGATTCATTTTTCAAGCTGCAAGGGTTCAGAAAGTGTGATATAGTGTATGGCATTTATGTTCAGCATACTTCTGAAAGCAATATGATTCTAGTGTATCTCTATGTTGATGACATATAGCTGACAAGAAGTTGTTCAGATGAGATAGTCAGGTTCAAGAAGGTGTTGATGACTGAGTTTGAGATGATTGATATGGGAAATATGGTATATTTTCTCAGGTTGAAGATTATGTACTTTGAAAAAGGTATAATTTACTTGGGATTCTGAAAATATTTTAGCTAAAAAATTGCAAGACGGCAATCACACCTTCTGAGATGAATCACAAGTTGGATTTTGATGTTGAGGGTGATGATGTAGATTCTATAACTTTTAAACAGTTGGTTAACTCATTGATATGTCTATGTAACACCAGACTTGACATTTGCTGTACAGTTGGAATGGTAAGTAAGTTTATAAACAAACCCAAGTGGTCACATTACCAAGTTTCTATCAGGATACTAGAGTACATTAAAGGGACTCTGAGGTATGGAGTGTTGTTCTCTTCTGGTGTTAAATATGAGTCAGAATTGATATGCTATTCAGACTCTGATTAGTGTGGAGACAGAGTTGACAGAAGAATTACTTCTGAATATTTTTCAAGTATCTAGGAGGTCCTATTTCTTAATGCTCTAAGAAGTAACTTGTGGTTGCATTGTCAACTTGTGAAGTTGAGTAATTGCAAGTGTTTTGTCTGCATGTCAAGCTATCTGGCTGATGAATTTGTTGTAGAATCTGAAGATCAAGGTGAGCAAGCCTGTGAAGCTGATGATAGACAACAAATTTTTCATAAGCCTTGCAATAACCCAGTGTTTCATGGGAGAAGCAAGCACATTGATACAAAATTCCATTTTCTTATGAATCAAGTCCACAATGAAGTGTTAGAAGTTGTTCACGGTATCACCTAGAAGCAACTTGCAGATGTTCTGACAGAAGCTGTCAAGACTGAATAATTTATCCATTTGAGGGATGAAATTAGTGTTGTAGAATTTAGTTAGCTGAATATGAATTAAGAGATGGTGTTAGAAGTAAGTCATATTTAGAAGTGTTGTTAGTCAGAAGCAGAAGCATCAAAAGTGACTGTTTCAGTAGAGTTGTGTTTAGCTTCTGGGTAGTAGTAATAATTTATTATGTCTACGTGGCAGTTAACTTTGTTTAGCATTTTAGCTTTTCCTACGTGTAATGTTTTATTGGTGTATTTAAACACTTTGGTGCAACTGATTTAGTAGTAGAACGTAAATGCAAGTGAAAGAGTTTCTCTCCAAAATTTTGTTGTAATCGTTTTCTGTCTATCTTCTCTTTCTCTTTCTTCTTCCATCTTCAATCTTGTACTCCAATATGTGGCGTCTCACGCTTGGTTGTTGTTTTCAGCTTCTGCATATTCGGTTAACTCTATTCATGGTTGTGCAACCTTTCCAACTCATCGTTCCACGATTTTCCCTATCTTTGATTTGTGGCACTACAACTATGGAGCACAGCCAAAAATTTTAAATTTTTTAATGTACTTTTAATTAAATCGCTTTCAATCGTATTTGTAATTTTCTGATTTTATCTCGATAGAGAATTATGTATATTTCAGGTAACATTTTAATTATGTTTAGATTTTAAATAGAAATGGAGTTATTTTTTAAAATTTATTCTCTATTCATTAGTAGTTAAAATTAATACTAATTTTTTTTAAATAAAAAAATATTCTTACAAAATTGTGTGCATTTTCAATTAAGCATTTGCTAGATTGGATTCATTAAATGGGAATGAAGTTCAATGAGGAGTTGGGGCTTAAAAGGTGCCACAAAAGGAAGATATATGGGATCATATTATAAAGCATTTGCTAGAATATCTTGAGAGGATATTTCATAATTATTAATTTCATGATTATTATCCAAATATTTAATGAACAATGAAAAATATAGGGATTGTTAAAGAATAAATTACCTGCATATTTTGTTCATCTGATCTTTGCAATGGTTGAGCACTCCTGGTATTTCTACGGTACCGTTCAATTGTGTCCTGCATGCTGTTACATTAAACACAATAAATATTTCACCTAAAAAATAAATTAATTAACAAAAGAAGAACATCTGGCTTGTCACATGTATAAAAATGATTAAAGTGTAAATATGGATTAAAGATAATTAAAAAGATTTTGAAGTTGATCAGCTAAATAAAAATTTGATTTTTTATAGAATATTAAAGTGTTGGTTGTAATATTTAAAAAAACATTTTTATAAAAAATATTTTTAAAAATATTAAAAAATCTATTTTTTAAAGCTAAAGGAAACTGACCCAACATTAATTTTATAAAGTCATTATTGGAAATATATAAGTTTACTTATTAGAAGCATTACACTAACTTTTCTCTTTTGAAGTCCTTCATTTAGTTATCTGTTATTATTAGGTTGTTTATTTCATGGGCTTGGATCGTAATTTAGTGAAGGCTCAATTGCTATATATAGATTAACCCTTCCCTTTGTAATCCTTTTCATATTCATTCAATTAATATTCTTTGATCAATTTACTTTATCATCACATTTTATATTGTGTAATATGGCATTAAGAGATCAAACCATTCTTTTTCTTTCTTTTGAATTTTCTGCTTCCCGCCTTCATGTTCATCTTTTTCGTCTCACTTTTCACAAATCCTAAAACCTTCATGGCCTCCGTGCCATGACGACAATTCCATCGTCAACGAAACTTCCAACAAGAATTCCAACTCCAACAATTCCACCATATCGAATGATCCGATCTTGAATCCAAGAAACCCCTTCTATCTTCACCCCGGTAAAAATCCCAACTCAATCTTAGTTGCACCACCACTCGACGACAACAACTACCACAACTGAAGTAAATCAATGTATCGCGCGCTCACATCAAAGAACAAACTTGGCTTCATCAATGTAACTCTCAACAAGCCGAGCTCCTCAAACTCCAGCTTTGAGCTATGGGATCGTGCAAATAGCACGGTGCTTTCTTGGATCAATCAAACCCTTTCACCGCACATCACACAAATTGCTATTTGCTTCGATTCAACTTTCGATCTCTGGGAGGATCTTCGAGAATGCTTCACCAAAGGAAACCATTTTCGTTTCTCAGATCTTCTTCGTGGTCTTCATTCCATCAAACAAGGTGATCACTCTCTTTCTCTATACTTCACTGATCTCAAGATTCTTTAGGATGAGCTTGAAGATTTTCGACCAACGCCATCTTGTTCATGACCTATTCCCTGCACCTGTGATTTGGCCAAAGTTGTTCGCCTTTACAAGTATATGGAATACGTCTCCTATTATTTGAAAGGTTTGAATGATAATTACCAAAACGTTCACACACAAATATTGCTTCTTAGCCTTATTCCAAGCATTACTCATGTATATTCGCTTATTGTTCAACAAGAAATTGTTTCACCAACATCTTCAGATGTTAGTCCTACTATTCTCTATGCGAACAACAATGCCAATAATGCTCGTGGAAAGGGAAAAGGTAGCCCCAAGAATTTCATGTTATGTACAAACTGTAGCAAAATGAATCCCACAGTGGATACATGTTACTTCAAACATGGTTTTCCACTAGGATATCGAAGCAAGAACACCAAATCTTTTGCAGAATCCAAGCCAGCTCAAAGTCCAACAACAAATGGTGTGATTTTCAAAGAGGATTATCAACACTTGGTTTTTCTTCAATAATCAAGGACACTCAAAATTTCAAGGCTGGTAAATCTCCCAAGGCTCATAATCACATAATCTTAGGAATCATTAATACATGTGATGAAATTAATTTATCTTATATGTGGATTCTTGATTCAGGGGCATCTGACCATGTATGCCCCTTCATCAAGTGTTTCTCTAATATTATAATTATTGATCCTATCTACATTCATCTTCCTAATGGAAATCGTATTTCTACAAATTTCTATGGCACTATTATCCTTGATGAATCTTTTCAACTAAACAATGTCTTTTACATTCCTGAATTTAGATTTAGCCTCATTTCCATATCTAAACTATGTCAAACTTCACACTATAGCATTTCATTCTCACACAATTCTTGTTCCATTCAGGATATGTCTACCAAGCGAATGATTGGGCAAGTGGTGCATAATAATAACCTTAAAATTCTTCACACCATCCCTGTTCACAATCTCTTTGCAACTTCACACACAAAAATGATTGTAATTCTGATAGTTTGACACATATTAATAGTTCTAGAGGTCTAGACTTATGGCATCATAGATTAGGTCATCCCTCTAATGAGGTTTTACATCATATGTCTCAAACCTTTTCTACCATCAAATATAATAAAAATTTCATTTGTTATGCGTTCCATTTGGCTAAACAATATAGACTCCCTTTTCATACTAGCAACTCTACTACTTCTACTTGTTTTGAATTGGTGCATATGGACATATGGGCACCTATATCTATGAATTCTATGGATGGATTTCAATATTTTCTTACTATTGTGGATGACTTTACACGTTATACCTGTACTTTTCTCATGCATAATAAATTCGAAACTAAAACTCACATCCAAAACTTCATTGCTTATTGTCATAATCAGTTTTCAAGTAAAATCAAGATCATTTGTAGTGAAAATGAGACTGAATTCATTATGCCATCTTACTATGCTTCTCTAGGTATTTTACATCAAAGAAGTTGCATTGAGACACCTCAACAGAACTCCAATGTTGAAAGAAAACATAGGCACTTGCTTAATGCGACTAGGTCTCTATTATTTCATACCAACTTACCCAAATGTTTCTGGTCTTCTTCCCTTTGCCATGCCACATACTTGATTAATAGGCTATGCAGTCCTACTATCCATAACTACACTCCCTATGAGCTTCTTTTTAAAAAACCTCCCTCTTTCACACACCTCAAAACTTTTGGATGCCTCACATATGCCTCCACCATAACAAGACATAGAGATAAACTTAACCCTAGAGCCATCAAATGCTTATTTCCAGGCTTCCCTAATGGCACTAAAGGTTACATTCTTTTTTATCTCAATACTAGATCAATAAATATTTCCAGAGATTGTGTCTTTTATGAGAACATCTTTCTTTACACATCTCATAACCAGGCCCACACCAATTATGAGCCCCCTTATGATACTACCCAATCCACCCTCATTTCATCTTTGACTTCCCAGGTCATAACATTACTCTTAACCTTACCATTCAAAACCATCCCATTCAACCTACTTCAAATATCCATGTTGTTTCTTGTGATGATCATACTACCCCTTAGTCTGATAGTGAGCTTGTCCAACCCACTGATAACATTTCTGATAGCGAGCTTGTCCAATCCACTGATAACATCATTGACAGTGAACCTGCCACCTCCACAAACAATACTAACTTATCCCTCATTAGAAAATATACCAGGAATAAAACCTCTCATGCATATCTTAAAGACTTTGTTTGTAATTGATATTATACTCCTATGCTTTATAACATTTTAAATTATATTTCATATCATAACACTTCTTCTGCATTTTACTCTTTCATTTATGTCATTACTACTACATTGATCCAAATCAATATAGAAGGCTCATTAGATCATAAGATATCTTTGTCACACAAGACTTGATCTTGCATGTAGTGTAAGTATGATGAGTAAGTTCATGCAAAAGTCAAAATTGTGACATCTTGTAGCCACAAAAAGGACACTAAGGTATCTTAAAGGCACATTGGACTATGAAATTTTGTTTCCAAAATCACATGAAGGAAGGGAGTGCAAGCTTGTTGGATATACTGGTTCTAGTTGGTGTGGTGATGTTGATAATAGAAAATCTATAGCAAGATATGTGTTTATGCTAGGTGGTGCACCTCTCATACGGTGCTCAATTTGTTTCCCATGTTCACACCCTATTCGTGATTTTGAGTAGCTGTAATGAGGGTTTGTGAGGTTAAGTTGCAGTTGTGAGTTTGTGGTTAAACTGTTTGATGAAATGCCTAACTGAGTTTTTCATTTCAAAAAACAGATGGAGTTGACTTTAACCGAACAAGATGCCGCTCATTGGGTTTACAGAGGTGAAGGTGCTGCTAATATTGTTGTCTCATACACTGGTTCTTCTCCTTCTTACGTATGTTTATTCTTGTAACTCAATTTTGCTTAATTTAATGTTTATAGTTTAAGGCCAATTTGTATTGTGTTTAGAATTTATTTGAGTTTTTCTTATGACATTAAGCTCTTGTGTCTGTGTTTCCTATTTGGATATCAATGCCTTCTCCCTCATCATAGCCTTCAACTGATCTCTCATGTTCAATTTCCTGATACAACTCTTTTTCCAAGTCCTTGTCTAAATTCCCTGTGCCTAAAACCTTCTGACTTTCTGAGTAGTAAATTGGACAAACCCCACACTCTTTGATTTTTAAAAGGTCACCAATTTCTCTGCCACTAGTTGTATAAGTTGTAATATAGAATTTAAAAGAAACCTTTCTTTCATTCCTTCTGAGTATGGTGTCACAAAGGAATGGATCATACCATACAAAAATATGATCCATTTCCAAATCTGTAACCAGTTTAGGCTTCCACTTAGACTTATTTCCCACTTCCGTCCTTCCATCTTCCGAATAGCACTGACATAGGATTCCAACAAAGTATTCACCCTCTTGTGTTATGTTAGATGGAGTAACAACAACTGCTAAAATGAAGCCCACCCAGTTGAGAACGTCAATAGTTAAGGAGGCGTATGTGGTGGATCGTTGTTTGAACTGACTTGGAATTCTGTGTCCTGGCAGACATACCTCGGCGCTGTTATAATTGTAGCTGTGGGTTTGGAATCTGTACTTTCTCACTAATACATTGTGAAAGGCAGCACTTTTCATTGTTAACACGGCATCTTCCGTCATGCAGGCAAGGGAGGGTCCATCCAGTTTCATCTTAATGCTATTCGTTATCGAAATGTATTTGTTCTGTCCAATCATGTTTACTGAAAAAGTCTTCAAAGTGGATACAGTCGTTAACGACAAGCAGTTGCCAGCCTGAAACTCTTTGATGCTTAAAGGCAGTTTTGGCAGACATTGAAGCTTACTGCAATTGTCTAAAGACTGAACTTCTAGCTCTAAGAGGTCTTTGATGCTAGCAGGCAACTCCTTCACATTGCTTCCATCTAGTCTTAACTCTTGCAATGATGATAAAGAACTAATGTTTGCAGGGAGTTCAAACAAGTTACTACAGTCTTTCAAGTGTAGTAATCTTAGTGAGCTCAGACCATCAAATAGGGCTTTTAACTTTGATTTGGTTACTACACTGCACTTAGAAACCCGAAGTTCAGTAAGTGCCAAGTAAGACAATTCAATCGGTAGACTTGTTAGATTTAAACCTTCTAGATTTAACGAATAAAGCTTAGTCATACCACCAATTGATGGATGCAATATTTCAATTCCTGTATTGCTCAAATCCAACCTTCTTAGTGCATCCGAAGATAATGAAAATTCCTTCAGACCATAGCAACCTTTGACACTGAAGTTTGCTAGAGATTTTAAATGCTTCTCACCCATAAGACTTGGCACTTTTTTGCACCCATCCAGTAGCAAAGTAACAAGTGTGTCCTTAGAAAAAGCAGAAGCCTGAACTTCAAGTAATTCTTCACAACCAGAAAGGCTCAACTGTTTGAGTTCAACTGTTTGAGATCATACCACACATACCTAGGTCAGAAATCATCAATAGTATCTGTAAATGTGTGAGAAATTAGTATTTAAACTTTTGAAATTACATACACAGCTTGAATCACGTTGCATCTGATAGCAACCCACATAATGTGAATGAAGCACACGAGTGTTTAGTAGGCCAAAACATACCTCACAGCCCAAGAGTGTGGAAGGTGTATTCTAACTAAGAGCTGAAAAAGTGTCATGGAAAGATCCTAAGAGGAGCAAGATGGAAGTAAGATATTTGACTGCATTTTCTCCCTGATTAGGTTAAAATGGCTGTACAATACATGCGGCGGGTTATTGAGAAGAAGGCAAAGTTTGATATCATAAAACTGAACTGTGTTCTGGTAAGTATTAATTGTTTGTCTTTTTTATAGTAAAAAAATTATGAATGCAATTATGTAAACTTTCATTGATCATGTTTTGTTAAGCATTATTTTCTGGCTAAACGAATTTCTTTTAGAGACATCATTTCTTTTCGACTCCATTTTTATCGTAAATTAATGCTTTTAAAGCCTACAGGTTGCACCGAAGACATTCATTCCTGTTTTATTTGGACATGCAAGTGATGACAAATTCATTCAGCCACACCACTCCGATCTCATCTCTGAATCCTACGCGGTATTAATTTTACAATTATAAGCAGTTTGCATTTTCTCTCTCTTTGATAGCCAAAATATCTAACTTCTGTTTCTGAATTCGTAGGGTGATAAAAATATCATAAAATTTGATGGCGACCACAACTCTTCTCGGCCACAATTCTTTTATGATTCAGTTTCCATTTTCTTCTACAATGTCCTCCGTCCTCCTCAAGTTTCTATTGCTGAAAAGCTCGAGAAATATTATGATTTGGGGGATTTGAAACTCGGTTCCGGTGTGGATGAGGTATTTAGCGTTTCTACTCCGTTGTCTTGAAAAATATAAAAGACACTACAGAAACTAATTTGCTCTTTTTCTTTTTCTTTCCATGCTAGAGCGTATTATATGAGATTCTCTCTAGTCTACGGTCTGCACCTACTGATGCTGCAAGTTCATCTTCTGAATTTCCAACAATATCTGAAACAAATTCAGTTACCGAACTTCTTTCGGAAGCAGCTCCACTGGCTGATGCAGTAGGTTGCCTTATCCCTCTGTCTCCATTATTTTCTTCATAAAACTTTGTTCTGTTTAGTTTATCCATTGCTTGTACTGCAGGAGCCTTTGTTTGAAGAAGATACGAGAGACAAAAATGATGAAGCCGCAAATGTGCAGGTCATCTTTATATAACCGTCTCTGAAATTAATAAATGGTCCGGGAATTATCCTTTCAATGACACAATCAATGGTGACAACAATGGTGGAAAGTTGATGCTTTATGCTTCAACATTAGGTGGGGGTGACAGAAGCTTCAATGTTACTGATAAAATGGAAGTTCTTGTAGAACATCCTAAACTTTTGGATCATACCCTTTATGATTCAAAGCCAAAGTTTGAGTTTTTATACTGTGGATCATCATTGTATGGGAATTTGAATCCACAAAGAGTGAGAGAATGGATAGCTTATCATGTGAGACTATTTAGGCCAAAGTCACAATTAGGCTAGTTTGGAACATTGTAGAAATGATGACCAAGGCAATGCAAGTAGAATTGTTCAAGAAGCTTAGGAACGTGATGGGTGTAGAAAATTTAAACACAATGAATTAGGTGGTGTGTTAAATATATAATACATGTTTTTTTTTGTTTTTTTTTGTTACTTGATAAACAAGTAAAAGGTTGTTAGTGGAAAATTCTGATAACAGAATTTTGTCATGTTAGTTAGTGAACATATAGTTAGTTAGAGTTTGTTGAGTGAACCTATGTATATATACTCTAGCTTTGTAATCTTTGAGTGAAGTGCAACAAAATTCATTCATCTCATTCCAATCTTTAATCTATTCTTTCAACTCATGTGTGAGAGAAAGAACAAAGCCTTGAACAACTCATGTGTTTGTGCATCACTCAAGGAAAGAGTAGTTGAGTTCATGCTCTTGTGTTTTGTTCTAACAAAATCTAAGCTCGTTTAGCAAAGAGAATCTTGCAAAATCTATGCATGCAACGTAAAAGCAAAACCATGACATGCTATTGTATGCTTCAAATATTCAGTCATATTATTCATTACATTATTTCTTAACTATGTATTTCATAGTTCATCTCTTTCTTTTTTGTTTTGAGATTTTAACTTACATTACTTTTAACAAAAAAAATAAACAGGACAAATAGGAAAACAAATCTGACTTGGGGAGAAAAATAAATAAATAAAAACACATAAGAAAGTGGCTGTTAAGGTTTTTTTGTTATTCAAACTTTAAGTTGCATATTACAACTTCAAATTAAATATTACAATGCACTTTACAAGTTTTTTAATAAGCAAATTTATTTATAGAGAGTGAAAGGAGTACTTAAACTCAAATACAACTAACAAAGAGTTATACAACTTTTTGCTCAATCATATTTATTATAAAAAAAATTAATTTCAATCCTACTTTAAAATATATGCAACTCAATATAAGAAAGGAAAGAAAATAAATGATATCAAGAGATAGTTGTGATTTTCATATTATAGGTAGAGATAGTTATGTTTTAAAGTAGTTTTGGCTGCTCACACTATTACTCATGCTAGATATTTTGTATAAATATTATAAAATAAACAATAGTACTTTAGACCATAGTTAAATAACAACATGTTGAAGTTTAATATATTTATCAAAAGCTTATTCTTCGTTACTTTTGGATGATGGAGATATAAAAGATGGTTTGGTGATTAATCTAAATGAGTTAAGAAGTTAAATGATAAGAATATTGAGAGTTCAATTCAAACTCTTAAGTAGAATTAATTACTATATATATATATTAATATTGAGAGTTGAAAAAAGTATGATTAGTCCTATAACAATGAAGATATATATATATACATATAAACAATTCTTAAGTCTTGAGAATGTTAGTATGTGTAAAACCCTTTCTTTTATGTATCTCATGAACAACATTGCATGTCAGTGTTTTGGTACATATGATATGATACACCTCTATAATCCAATACTCAAGAAAACAAATGTATAAACCCTTAATCCCTAATAAACATATTAGGCCCACTAAATTTCACATCAATGCATCTATATAGGTTAAATCAGCACCAAACTGAAAATGAAAGACAGACGGTAATTTTTAAGAGAATTGATTTTGTCATTTAAAATGAATAATGATAGAGTTTGTTGTTTGATTGTCTTCTATTTATATCTGCGGTCTCTTTGTAATCCTTTAACAAAAACTTTCATTATAGTTTATGGATTAGGGTAAACTTAATCTCCTTTTATAAATAAACATGAGGATTTGACCAAATCACTTTTTATTCTCCAAAAGGTAAAAATGAAAACATGAAATAAACTCTTTACTTCCTATCAAATCAACCAGCCACACTGATATTCTGTGGTTAATTAATTAATATATTATGTTAAAAATCTTGACTCTCTCTACTACTATAGTACTATATACATCATGGTGCATGAAATATCTTAGCAGATGTAATATTGAGAAAAAAAACTATAGATTATAAAACAATAAATTTGCAATATTAAAGTAAAAATAATAAAATAAAATAATTACCAGGAGCTAGAAAACTCATAAAGTTTTCCTCTTGGTGAAAAGATGATAAGAGCAACTTCAGCATCACAAAGAACAGATAGTTCAAAAGCTTTCTTCAACAAACCATTTCTTCTCTTTGAAAATGTAACTTGTCTGCTTGTTGCATTCTCTATACGTTTCATCTGAGTTTTTCCTCTCACCATTTTAATCCAATTTCTATGATAGTTATCACAAATTTAAATCAAAAATCAAAAATTAAAAATATGAACTAATTAAAGTCAACAACGACTGTAATATAGAGGATGAAGGTTAAATTAAATTAAATTAATAATAATAATAATAATAATAATAATAATAATAATAATAATAATAATAATAATAATAATAATAAAGAAATTTAATTAAAAAAAAGATGAACATAGCTGAACAAAAGTGGCTAGAAATATGTTGAGAGTAAAGGATCTATAAGAAAGAAAGAAGAAAAAAAAGTTACTAAATTAGGAAAAGAAATAAAAAATGGATTGGTTGAAAAAATCATACCTGGAGAAAGAAAGAAAAGAGATGTTGTTGTGGTTGATGAGAGAAGAGAAGGGTTTGATTAGTAGACAAAATTGGAAAAGAATGAGAGAAATATATATGATGGTTGTGGATAGATAGAAAAGGGAAAGAAAATGAAAGGAAAGAAATTAATAGGAGAGAAAAGAAGCACCCAAAAAGAGAGAAAACAAGTGCATAGCAGAGACAGAGTTAGCTTTCCTTATTCAACCACCTATTGTGCCTTTAGTTTCATTCAGCCCCACCATTTTAAGAAACTATTTTATGGTTTATACAATTTTCAAAACCTCTTTCTTTTTCTTGTTTTGGTAAATTCCAATTCAATGGGACCCCTAATATTTTTCTTTCGTTAAAAAGGGATCTCAATTACTTTTAATTTAAATAACATCTTCAATTTATTTATCTTCTTCTCACTAACACTTTCTTTTTTTCTCTTGTCAAAAAAATATTGTAAACCTAATCTCAATTATTAATCATAAGAATTGATCTCTTAAAGCTTGAGACAATAAGTTCATCTTAACTTGTCATATTCTACTCATACTAAATACTAATTTTGTCTACAATATATCATTTTTCAACTAAACTTTAAAGGTATTGTCAAATTTCTCATATAAAATTTTATAATTTTTATTAAAATTTACTATATTATTAAAATTTGTATATTTATCATCATCATGTTTTAAAATAAAATATATTAAATTGATATTCATATAACAATAATTATATGACAAGAATAAATGATATAAAAATTTATATAAATTATTAGGATAATTTTTAATCTCTAACAAAAATATTTATTATGTGTTAATGTAAAGAAATAATTGATATTTATAAATTGATAATATTTTAAAAAATAATTTTATTATTGAATTAAAAAAAGATTAATATGACCTTAAAAAATTAAAATATCAATTATCTTAAAACTATTAATTTTACAAATAGAATAATTATTATAGAACTTAAGGATACCAATAAATAATGGTGAAATAATTATTCAATTTTTTAAGATTATACTTACTAATATATATACATAGTGATTAAACAAGAATGCATTAAACAAGTAAATGCATGTGTAAAATAAATCTGAAGATATTTTGATGATATCAGAGGAGTGATAGTTGAAGCTAGAGAGAAGTTGGAAAGAGAGAGAGAGATATTGAAAATGGTGCCAATGAAATGCATTTGATTTGATTAATTCATTGATGAAAAAGAAAATAAGAAAGATGAGAGAGGAAGAGAGTGTGGGGCTAGAATTACAAGTGTGCGGGACAAGTGGGAGAGAAAAGAGTAAAAATAGGAAAATTTTGTATAAAATGAAACTAATCCGTACATATTAGTACACTAAGAGCCAATGAGAACTCGAAAACACACCATCTTGTCATCATACACTTTATGCTATTCTACAGTTATTGTTTAACTTTTCGTTGTTTTTTAATGCATTTTTTCTTTTTTGCATTTAATTAATACAATGTCCTTGTCTGCTCTATATATACAGTCAGTCTTTTGGCATTTACTCAGACTACCTATCGATTTACACAACATACTACTAAATACTAATGTCTTTTTCTTTACTTCCTTCCTCTCTGCTCATTATTCTAACAAATCTATACTTTAACTAAATACTAGTATTATTTAACATTTGTATCTATTTATTTTGAAATTAGTAGAGTATAATATACTTTTCATTTAATACAAAAAATATTTAGTACATTTATTTGATTAACCTTTATTATTAAATATTTTTTAAGAAAAAAGAAAATTATAACTTATATTTTTCATAAATTTAAATTATTATAATGTAAATTTTTTTAATAATAACAACATGAGAGAATATATTTGAATATTAATTATTAAAAAATATTATTGTAAAAAAATATTTACACCGTTAATTTATCAATATCATTTATTTGTATTATTTTATAGATGATTAAAGTAAAAGTCAAACTTCTTTTAATATTTAACATATATAATACTATAGTACATTTCAATTAAATTCATATATTTATAAAGATGTTTAATAATTAATATTGGATATTGTTGGAAGTAATTCATATTCAGAAGATGTTGTTATTCAGAAGCAGTAGAACTTTTGAGGTTGTTAGCCAGAATATGTAAGCTTCCGAGACTGCTTAGTTAGAAGCAGTAGTTTGATGTAATCAGAAGTTGTTATTAGTCAAAAGTAGAAGCTTCTGAGGTTACGCCCAGAAATATTCTTAGCTTTCGGGGTTCTAGGTTCTGAGTTTGTTAGCGTAACTGTTAAGTTTAATATTTTCTAGTTTTTATCTTTTAACTTAGTCATTAAATTTACCTTTTATTAGGATCTATGTGGCTAATTACTTTTTGTATAAATAGACTAGTAGTAGCAATCATTTGTATCATTCCTTTTGTAAGCTTTCTAGTAGTCGTCATTGCAGTAAATATATTTTCTCTTACCTTTCTTTCATTTATTAACTTTGTGCACTAACAATTGGTATTTAGAGCTCCGATTGGATTCACGGGAAATACGGGTGAAACAGTGAGACATTGTGTGATTGATTTTGGTTCTTGAATTCGTGTTGAATCTTGAACAAAATCTGAACAGAATCACATTTCATTGATTCTGTGGGATTGGGAAATACTGTATTTGTGAGATCTGAGTGTTCTGTACAAGGTTGAAGATGACCGAAAATAGTATTCTAAGATCCAAGCTTCCAGTATTTAATGACAAAAACCGGAATCATTAGATGATTCAGATGCGTGTGTTGTTTGGTGCTCAGGATGTTCTTGAGTTTGTTACAAATGGTCATGTTCCAGTTGCAGCAGATGTGATGGAGGAACAGAGGAACGTGTAGAGAGATACAAGGAAGAAAGATAATAAGGAATTGTTTTTCATCCATCAGTGTGTGGATGAGAGTGTTTGATAAAATTGTTGATTCAACGATGATGAAGGCTGCGTGAGACACATTAAGTAAGTGTTACGGTGGTGACACATCAGTGAAGAAGGTGAAACTTCAGTCTCTCAAAAAGCAGTATGAGAATCGCAACATGAAGGGCAACGAGAAGGTTTATGAGTACATGTTGTACCCCAAAATTTTCCCTCCCACTTATCAATTATTTTCTCACAAGGATCTCTCTTGGTTCAAGACTGCACTAGGGTTGATCAACTCAAGACACCTCCTTAAGCATTGATGACCAAAATTAGGGTTTGAGATTTCACAAGGATATTTGAACTTCCAATGTCCCATATGACTTTCATGGATCATTATGGACCCTCAAGATTGCTCATGTCAAGTTTCAAGCTTTGGATCACATTTTTGCTCAGTCAATTGAACAGTTGACCTAAAAACCAGTTGAATTGGGGAAAAGTCAACCATGGCCAATTTACAGTCAAAATTCATAATTTTTTATCCACATCAACATTTTAAACTCATATGTATCATTTGATCAAGTTTGGACCATATTTCCTCAAGAAATTTGATCAAATCTTCAAAAGGGCAAAATGGTCAAAATTAGGGTTTTGACTGAGAAGGGGCAATTTCTGATTTTTGACCTAGCAAATGGTCAATTGGTTTGAAGCATGATTTCAAGAGTTAAATTGCATCATTTTGACCTAATGGCATGACCTAAAACATTGCTCAAGATCAATTGGATTGACAGTGAATTTTCAATCAACTGATCAAAAGTCAACTATACACTAAAAAGTCAAACTTTGACTTTTTGGTCAAAATTCAATGTCAAAGATCACAATTCATCAAAACTTGTCAAATATGAAGCTTATTCATCAAGAAATCAAAAATTCAAGATTTCATTTTGAAAAGTCAAAGTTTTCTAACTTAGAAATTTTTCCAAGTGTTTAAACTTCATGTTTTTTTTATAACTTTGAGCCAATTTTCCACCATGATGCAAGATTATCCAAAAGAAACTTTCAACATTAAAGTTGTAGATCTCCATGATATCTAAAACTTTTCTTCACACAACTTCTTCTAAAATGCTTTTATCTTAAGTTATTAATTCATAAAGTCATGGTCATGAAATTGAACACTTAGTGAAATTTTGCCCTAGTTTTGGCCAGGATTTTGACATAACTTCATGGCACTTTTTCATATAGTTCCAAGGGGGATTTTCAAAAGTAATTAAAAGATGGATTGTAGAGAACATTGCAAGTTTCCAAAATGTGCAAGAACTCATTGAGATCATTTTTGAGTAGGGAGAATCGAAGAGATGAAGTTAGGGTTTTATCACTTGAATTACTAGTCATTTTTTGATGAACACATGAACCAAATCCATGCTAGGCTGCATAATCTTTGTTTGCAGGCCTCAAACTTCTTTGTCACTCCATAATTAAATTTTTACATAGCTGTTAGGGCTTTGATCCAAGCAATTGAGCTATTATCCAAATTGCATTTCCATTAATGGCACAAAGTTAACATTGTCATTCTTGTAAAGCAAGCTTTTTGCATAAAGTCCATTCTTGAGCCTCTAACTTGTTCCCTATGATCACACTCCATCCACAAAGTCAGAAGCAAGCTTGTTTAAAGCATAACCACTATATGAACCAAGTACAAGGCCTGGAAACTTGTTTTGTCAAAAAATCACATGTTAAACTTAAACATGTAAATTTGAATTCTGACCAACTAGAGCATTCCAAACTTGTTGCTTATAAATAGAG